TTACACAATTGGATATAGAGAAAATCTATGATTATGTAAATAGGAGCTTTCTTGATTACATACTAAGGAGATTAGGTTTTGGAGACAAATGATGCAAGTGAATCAACTATGTATTTCTACTACTTTTGCGATTATGGTGAATGAGAGTCCATCTTCATTTTTCAAAACTTCTAGAGGCCTAAGACAAGGTGATCCCTTGTCTCTTCTTTTATTGATAGCTGTCATAGAAGGCCTTAACAAAATGTTGCTAAGAGTGAGAGAGTTGGAACTGTTTACAGGTTCAAATGTGAGTAAGGGAGAGCATATGGAGGAATAAAAGAGGTTGTTGAGGAATAGAAACAAACCATTTCTTGAGTAGCTTGGAATGAGAGGAATAAAAGATATCTTGAGGAGTCAGATGATGACGATGATTTTAATAGGATTAGAAATAAATGGTTTCATACTCCTTTTTTTTTTTGGGTTATCCTCTATTCAATTGGGGATTTAGGGGATCTTGTTGACTGGCAGATATTTAAACACTTTGTACATGGATTGACACCATCTTGGTGCTTGTTAATTAATGATACAAATTATACTTTTTATTAAAACAAAAAAGCATATAGAGGAGGTAATTTACCTATTTTTTGTTAATGATATTTTTTTTTAAATATAAAGTGCAAGGAATATATTGATATTGGCACCCAAAGAGTGCCAACCCATTAACAAAATTTTACAAATCAATGAAAGTGTCAATAAGATTTCTTAAATCCTTCATTGAATAAAGATGATAACTCAGTAACAAAAAACTAAGGATCTGAACCCATTTATTTTTAAGTAAATCAAAATCATCCACATTGTCAACCCCACTAAAAGCCCTTTTACTCCTCTCATTCCACACAACCCAAAAGATGGTAAGCAATATTAGATCCACTTGTTTCCTCTGTCCTCTCATGTCATTCTACCCATAAATTTCATCTTTCACTGATCCTGCCATCACCTAGTTCATGTATATAAGCCTATAAACCATAGTCTAGAGCTTGTATACCACAAGACATCAAAGTAGAACACAGTTACAAGTCTTGTCTGCCCTCTTACATAGATACTACATGACACTTTGGTATTTCACGAACCGGATGAGAGAGACATGCTTAATCTCATATGCATTTTGTTGAATTTCAAAGCGGTTTATGGAATCAATATTAATTTAGCCAAGTCCAAGTTGGTGAAACTGAATGATGAGAGGAATGCTTCCTATTTGGCGAGAGTCATGGGTTTAAAAGTGTAGAGTTGTTGATAAAATACTCGGGGTTACTGTCGGGTGCGAAATATAAAGACCAAATGACTTGGGATCCTGTGATGGTGAGGTTTGAGAGAAGATTGATAGAATGGAAGAGAAACCTCCTATGTAAAGAGATGAGACTTGAGCTTATAAAAAGTACAATGACCAATATTCACGCTTATAAAAAGTACAATGACCAATATTCCCATCTATACATGGCCCTTCAAGAGAAGTCAAGAGACCAAAATCAATTCAATGTAGATTCCTATAATGCAACTCGGTGGATAAAAAAAAGTATCATCTAGGCATGAGAAGATGTTAAAAATTCTATGTATCTCGAGGTTTGGGCTTGAGATCTTTAGTGGAGGTAAATTTGGCCTCACAAGGGAAGTGGCTCTGGAGATTCATGAATTAAAATGGTAGCCTTTGATGGAGGGTGATTGAGGCAAAGTTTGTGACTACTAATTAGAGGGTGGTACACCAGATTATGTTAGACCGCAAAGGAAAAAATGTTAAAAAAAATATGCACGGGCAAGAACAAATTCTAGGATTGTATCAAGTAGAGGGTTAGCATGGGGGACAAAGTTAGTTTCTAGTATGGTTCTTGGTTAAGAGGAGGATCACCCAAAGAACTGTTTTTCCATATCTACAATATCGCACGACACAAGACTATCTCAGTATACGAGTCACATAAAGACAATGGGGAAAAAAAAGAGTGGCAAGTGGAAGTTATGGAAAACCTCAACTACTGGGAAGTTAATGATTATGAAACTCTCCTCCATACACTTTATCGCTACAATCAACGACCGACCTATTCGGAGACATAATGTTAGATGGTCTTCTTGGTCAAGTCCTATAATTATTTGAGTAAAATGAGGCCACAAACACTAGTTTTCCTTATTGACAAATATGGAAGGTTAATACTCCATCCTGAGTTGCTTTCTTTATGTTAAAAGTAAGTCATGGGTGTATCCTTTTTCTTTTTCGAAATAAAGTTATGGTGTATCCTTATTATTGTCAAACTGATTAGGAGAGGGAAAATATTGGGAATAGATGTTTCTTATGGAAGAGAAAGGCAGAGGCCTATAATTATATTCTCCTTTGGTGCCCGTTTGTGTATAAATTGTGAATCTTGGTTTACGGGTTACTGAATATTAGTTTGGTGATGGCTAGTTCAGTGAAGGAAAAGGTTTGACCTAGGAAAATTATTAGTAGAGTGAAGAAACATGTGAGTCACATTCCCCTTACTATCTTTTGGGTAGTGTGAAAGAGAGGAATATGAGAGCTTTTGAGGGGGTTGGAAGACGATTTTGATAGGGTTAGAAATAGATCATTCTAAACCTGGGTTTTTTTTATTATGGGTCACCCTCGTACACAATGAAAGATTTTGAGAACCTTATTGATGTTTTTGTTGACATGTAAATATCTTTTGTAAATGAGTTGACAACTCCTTGGTGCTTGTGAATGAATGAATCACACTATATTTTTAATCTCATAACTTTGTAATAACTTGGTTTGTGTGCTTCCTTCATGCAATATAATCTTGGTTGTATAGAGTTCAAGTGGCTACTAGGTTCTGGCAATGGGCATATGAGGTTTGAGTGAGAAAACTAATGGTGCCATGATAAATCAAAGTTAAGCCATGATACCAACTAATATAGGCCAAAAAGACTTGGAACAGAATACTTTAGAAAAAACTTACCAACCAACCAAGTCAGTGTCTCAAATTTCAATAATCAATAAAAATCTAAATAATGGATGTATAACACTCATAAGAGTCTAAATGAGAACTAAGCTATGGTGCCCTAATTATAAACACCAAGCATAATCAAAATTAAGAAACTTTTAAATACATAAGAAATAAGTTGGAGAAAAAAATAAATTGACTAATTGAAGAACCTACAATATAGAATAGCTAAATAAAATCCCAGCTAAACAGGAAACAATAAACTCATAACAACAATAGGCTTATATATATTAGTTCCTAAATAAGCTAAATACCCTTAAGAATACATAAATGTTATAATTACATAAATATCTCTTAATTCAAAACATGTCCAATTTAGAATCTTCTTGTTCTGCATCAGATATAGTTAGTTACTTCTGAAAATAAAAACAAGAGAATTATAAACATGTTTGAGCATAAATGATAGCAGTACAAATGTCTTTCAAGTACATCACACAGTCAAATTACATCTTTGTTGCAGAAAAACCTTATCTATAAAACTTATGAGCCTTCATTACATCCTACATCACATTTTAGTCTGTATCCAGAACATATTCTTTAACTATTTATTATTATCATGAATTCAAATATTAAACACTAATCATAGGATTCTTGGCTT